AAAATCTAAAGTCCAATTTCCAATCAATATGATATAGTTTTACTGGCATTCCAACCAATATTATTCAACATCAAATGTTACCGTACACCGCAGAAACACTCAGAAGAAGCCACGCATTTTCCTATTACCAAGCATCACTCGCGCTGCCTGTTTACAATTTATACCCACTAAATACATCACATGACCAACCCTAGCGTAATGGGTCTATTGCCTGACTACTAAAACATCATTTTTTTATGATCATTGTGAAAATTAAGACTCTTTAGTTGTTTGCATCGATTAAGCATCCATGCTGCTCAAAGCATTTCTTTGTGTCCAAGTTATATTTTCTTCAGCATTATTATAATAGTCAGTCTAATTTATCTCCATACTAAAAAGGTTTCTTCCTTATCTGCATCCTCTATTCTCCTTTGTTTATCTTCCCGTCTTCTCTAACGGCATGGTCTTCATGTCAGTTAATTAGGGACATACTGTAGTACATTGGCAAAGAGTAATGGTGGTGATTATTAAAAGGAATCTTGTTTAGACTCAACCCATGTGCATGGCATGTGTAAGGACCTCATTAGAAAAATTCTGTTGGCATAATTAGCAACTAGTTAATCTAACGGTATGACTTTAATTGGGTGTACATTATTTGCAATCACTAATTTTTGGAAGATGTAGGAGTTGTTTTTACATGTGATTGATTTATCTTTTAAAAATGTATGTATTCATAATTTTTTGTACAGTAATTGGATTTATGTTAATCATTGTTTTCCTGTCCTGTTAAGTACTCATTAGCTCAGTGGTGCAGGGTTAAATTAGTACAGCATGTCCATGGAAGTGTACCTATACATGTGTTTTTCATGTTTACCAGTTTCATAAAAGTAACTGTACACTTCATTAAAAGATGGAGTATATGAAATATCTTATTAAACTACTACCCAATTCAATGACTCGTGCTTACAGAAATTTTAGCAAATATGTCCTGCGGTATATCGTATCCATGTGAGGCGCATTTGATGACATTTTGTGTGTTTTTTCGCAGGAACATAAAGATTAGCTTTCAAAACATACAGTTGGCAGCGCCAGTGAGGTTGGGAGAGGGGGGCAGAGGTCAACCAGTTTTGACTGGCAAATCTTGGCACCACCATTAATTACATACCAAGTATACAGACATTTCATTTTACACTTATTTGTATTTCCAATATGCAGTATAATATTGATTTTGTACAAAGAAATAGTTTCATTTATGGTATGTTGGCCTATATATTTCTATTGTTATAATTTCCACCTGGATTAAACACCATTATTTAGTATGTAGGAAGTATTCATTACAGTTTAGATTCATCTTGCTCTTGTTTCACCTGCATGTGTTCATAATAGTTGGCTTCCTGTTTGTGTCTTTGTTATGAGATAAATTCACTTGAACTGCATCCTTTGCTGGCCAGTCAACATCATAAATCAACGTAACGACCATGCATGGAAACTCTGTATCAAACATATATTGTATGTATATTATCATATTTAATCAAATAAACGCCCTGGACGTTTACTGTTGAAAAGGGTTTTAAAGCTGGGTTTATTCGAGGGAGGCGTTTATTCGAGGGATGCGTTTATTCAAGGGATGCGTTTATTCGAGGGAAGAGTTTTTTTTTATAAAACATGAAATTATTGAATAAGGCATTTGATAACTTCATGTTTTATCCATGAGTCAGCTAACACTTTGGTAACGTCATTTCCATGAGTCAGTGATGTGGTAAACATTATGTTACCAATAGGAATGTCAAGTTAGGCTTGATAAGCTAATCTTTTCATTTTTCGTCAGTGTGATTGCATCGTTGCATTATTTTCACCGGGTGAACTCAATCAAACATGAGGATACAAAATATGATTCTTTATCCAAGTGGAAGAAATTTAATATATTTTTTGTTCATTTTGAAGATTTATGACAATTATTACTCATCATATGAAAGAAATTAGGGTTTTTTTCAGGTTGATACACATAGATTAAAAAGTTTGATATAAAAATTGACAAAGACATGTAGAAGAAAATCATTTATTTAATTACAAATACAAAGTTTCTATTTAATCATAATAAAGAAATACCATCAAATAAGTGTAGGTAGCTAATTGATGAGTTGGAAAGGATGAACTCAGACCAAAATTCATTAATAAAAGAAACGTTAAATTTATAATTATTGATGGATTTTTGTAAAACCCAGATGAAATCAGGAAGTCCGAATACATGTATCTCTAAATTCTACCATTTAAGCATTTGGTTTTAATTTATAACCGAGTAGGAGAAATTCTTTCTATGGGAGCCAGCTGATGCCATGTGCATTTTTATTATTACATATTAGGCCTATGAATTATTATTTGGAGTTGATATGTGTGTTGCAATATATTAATATGAATTAATATTGTCTTATTGCAACCATGCATGTTTTCTTCACATTTAGAGTGGAAGATGTGACCTAATGACCTATTACAACTAGCTTTGTATGTTTATGTCTAGTTAGGATTCGTCATTATAATTCCTTTTATGGAATGCATCTTTGACCTCTAAATAATCTTGATAATACCTCATTATGTATAAGCTTACCACTAATACTGATGAAGTTATTTACATAGCAGGAATCATCAAGATTTGGTGTTGCTAATGAGAATTGTCATATTTATTTGAATTCAGTTGTTTTTGTCAACAAATACATAATAAAGAGGACAAGGTCTAAAATTTGTGAATCACTATAATAAAATTCCTATTACGGTAAATTTAATACTCATTACTATAGTAGAAATCAATAGCGAATTATGAATGTAAGTTATTTAAATATTAATGAAAACAACATTATACTTTCTGGTAAATTAAGGATTGTAATTTCTACAAATTTTATTTGGTAAGTGGTGGTTTTCATTTCACCAGAAGCAGCAAAACAAAATTAGATGCAAAGAAAAGCTTGTTAAATAGATCGCCAGAAAATTATCTTCCAACTTCGGACCCCGGTGTTTTAGAGTATTATTATACAAAAACAATTTTTTTTTAAATAGAGAAAAAAAAAATTGTTTTCCTTTTTTGGTTTGATGAGTCGTGGCCAGTGTCAGAGAGGGGGTTGGGGGTGAGGTGATTAATTACTCCTACTCGTTAAATCCCAATATTGAAGGATAAATAATCATTATAATAATCGATGTAAGGCTTTCAAGCGGAAGGTTTATATGAAACCAAGTCAATTGCTGTAATACACTTGCTATCAACATACCATCATTTCAAGTGCCTACTTTCGTTCTTGCTTATTTGATTTCACTTCCACTTAAGTTCCTGTAATCAGTAGAATAAACATTACATTAACATCATTGATAAATGCACACATTTTTATGGGTTATCTTTGCTTTTTCTCCTTTCTATAATGCTATTTTTTTACAACTATATTTTTGAATTTAAATTGTTTTGTCATTGACTCTTATATTGAATTTTACTGTTTTATTATTGCAGGAAAAAAAATGTGCATTTATAATATATATTAAAAAAAATCTGAGTAGGCAAAGATGTTTGTGTATATAATTTACAGTGGATGAAAAATAATACCGTTTAAAATATACTGTATATCGATTGACAGGGAAATATCAGTAATGGCGTACTGTATTAGATTTCAGGAGATGAAGATTGATAAAATTGAAGTAATATCTTTCAGTATTAGATTACAAACCACTAAATATTCTTTAAGAATAAGTAGTCAATTTCAATACGAGACAGCTACCCTTGCTTTACACCTTCTATGGGGCGTTGAGGCGTATACACCAAGAACAAGGAACCACTTTCAGAATGATAAAAAAAATGTTTAGCTGCACTGCTTTAGAACAATATAATGAGAGAACTCAGGACTTCTTAAAGACTAAACTTGACATTTGCATCACAAATACATCATCATTTCTTACATCAGACTGCTTATACAAAATATATAATGACTTTTGCCTCTAGTAACCCTCATGTGACCTCAAGATGTCATGAATAATTCAGAGACATAGAATTATAATGCGAATACAATGCTAGATCAAAAGCATTCACAATTATTAAGTTTTATACTAATTTGCCATGCACAAATAATATTTGCTATCTTGTTGGAAAAAGTGCACATCCAAATGAAGATGAGTTAAAGTTTGAATTAATGAGCATCAGAAATGCAACCCATTTCAATGGGGTCCAAAATTGCACATTAAAAAATTAGTATAAAATCATTAATACTAAAAATTTTTAAATTGACATAAAAATATGATATACACATAAAGCCGACATAAAAAATACAGATACTGAATTGCACATAATTAAAATTCTAAAAAAGCTTTAACAGTTTCATCAAAAACACTTAAAAATGTACATAATTGTACAACAGCACCCAGAGAATATGAATTTAAAAAGTGTTCAAAGACCAAAATGGCACCAAGTAGAATGATAAAACTAGAAAAATTGCAATACTGTACTTATTACACACTCATATTTTAATAATAGTCTAAGTGAGCTGGTCAGATGTTTAGCACCTAAACATTTCAGATGGATTGGAGCAACTCCTTTCTCTCTGGGCATTGATTTATAAACTAATATTTTCAAAGTTCTTACATTTAAGTTTTCATTTAAACCAACTACTGTAGACTATTATTTCACAGTCATGAAATGCCTGTTTATTCCTCTCTAAATCCATCCCTGGTCACTTAAGTGATACTGTCTATTGCCAGCAGAGCTGGAAAAAGTACACAAACATGTGATCAGCAGCCGAAGGCAACATGAATGTCTCATCATAGGCATTTTGGGGGAAAAAAATATTTAAAAAAAACCTGTTGGGCAAGTGTACAGACAACATTTCACAACATTTCATACTAGAGGCATTTTATCGAGACAACTTGCATGGTCGGAGGCACAAACATTTTTTTTCCAGGCCTGATTGCCAGCATCGCTAATAATATGGTGTATATAAACTAATAAGTAAATAAGCTTACGTTTAACCTGATTTTTCTTCCCTTTTCAGATTTTGCCCAACAAGACCATGGCAGATGATATACTTTCTCTGACAGTAAAGTGTTCATTTTACAAAGAGGGCTGTAAGTGGCATGATAAACTAAGAGCATTACAGGTAATTATATCAATTTATATTACTTGTCTATAATATATCAGCTATTAGCCAACCTATGCAATGCACAGTTTGCAGGCCTAGTATGTATTTGTAATTGATAAGAAGTAGAAGTAATTTACTCCTTTCAAAGGAGTAATATGTATTCAGGGAGGACTGTGACATCTAGAAATGTGAGAGAGTTGTGATGATGGATAGATGAAGATTTTTGTAAATGTAAATAAATATTGCAGAAAGGACTGTCTTCTGCGAGTGGAAATTTTTAAATTTTGTGATTGAATTTGAAATACCGTAAGACTACATTACAAAACATATGTGAGACACTGTTGAGTTTGGAAATAATTGGAGATGAGAGATTCATGAGATGAGATGTGAAAGGTTATCCGAACTGCACCGGCTTCATCTCTGGCGTTGTCATCGATATTGATGTTGGACTGAAAAACAAGATAATCATGAGATAATTAAATTGAGAGATAAGATAATATGAGATAAGAGATTCAAGAAAAAAGAGAGTAGTGATATGAGAGAGTCAGCAGATCAGAAGTGAAACATAACCAACAACTTCATCTCTGGTGTTATCAATATTGATGTTCGATTGCAAAATAAGATACCGGTACTCATAGGATAATTAAATCAAGAGATAAGATAATTTGAGATAAGAGATTCAGGAAATATTAGAGAGTTGTGAGGTTAGTCAGGACATGAGATGTGGAACACTATCCGAACTGTACTGGCTTTATCTCTGATGTTGTAATAATGATGTATTGAAAAATAAAGATAATCATGAGATAATTAATTTGAGAGATTCAAGAAAACAGAGTTGCGAGATGAGTCAGGACATGAGAAGTGAAACATAATCTCCAGCTTCATTTGTGATGTCATCAATATTGATGTTCGATTGCAAAGTAAGATACCTGTAAGCATAAGATAATTAAATCAAGAGATAAGATAATTTGAGATAAATGATTTAGGAAATAAGAGAGTTGCGAGATTAGTCAGGAGATGAGATGTGAAACATTATCTCAACTGCACCGGTTTCATCTCCGATGTTGTCATCAATATTAATGTTGGATTGAAAAATAAGATAGTCATGAGATAAGTGCATCAAGAGATTAGAATAATTTGAGATAAAAGATTCGAGAAATAAGAAATTTGCGAGATGAGATGTGAAACACGATTCTAAAAAGCAGGTCTAAATGGATATTGCAGAACCTACTTGATTGATGTAAACCATCACATTTAATGTGTTTATTAACTTGCGAGCACTCTGTCACAAAATATTCATATATCATCTATTGGACGACGACATACTTGATGCATTGCTATTTAGTGGGAAAGTGTTCAGATATCTTTCTGATTATAGATGAGGAATTTAAAGACATAAAATATGTTGATGGATGGTGTATTTGTTATAGCATACTTCCTTCTAACATTTTGATATGTTACATGTAATAGTAAACTAGTTTATAGCTTTCTACTAATTAGATGATTTGATTTACGAACATAGTGTTTCTTTTTGGGATGATAGACTGCTTTTGATGTTTGCAATCCTTGGGTTTTGAATGCATTTTTTGTGTTTCATTGATTAAACAATATGTATTAATTTTTTTGTACTAAAGCCTACAGTATTTAAAAATTTAGCTTAGGTAAACAATTTTTATATTATCAAATAATGCCAACAAAACTACATTTTTTTACATAAACAGTTGTTTTTTTCTTAAACTAATGAAATATTTTGATTTATTTTCATAATAATTTGAACATTTTATTTTACATTAAATTATTGTTCTTCATTTGTACAAAAGCAATTAATTTTGTTTTTGCTATTCTACTTATTACTTTTGAGATGTAAATTCTTGTGCTATTATTATCAGTAAAATAATTATAATAATTTATTTTCTGTATGTTATAAGGTTTTTAAATTTAAGAATGCAATTAATTTTGTTATAAAAATAATTTCAGTAATATATTATAATTTTTTTATTTTTTTCCCTGACTCATGTTGAGTTATTTGAGTACAACTTGAGTTAATTCTCACTTTTAACTTGTTTTTTTTAGACTCACCTTGAATCATGCGAGTACAACCTGATTCCGTGCACTTACAACTGTGGCGCCACGGTGGCCAGGATGCTAATGAATGAACACTTCCGCTACGACTGTCCGAAGCAAAGATCAAAATGCGAGTTTTGTGGAGGAGAATTTCCAGGAGATAGGCTAGAGGTAGGTCGTAATACAATGTATCTATGAAGTCGTTGATCTTTTTTTTTTTAACCTCTGGTACCTGAAACAGTTTATTTACCAAGAACAGATTGTTATAAAACTGTCTTAAACAGCTAGTATTAACTGATCGATTATTATAGACAGCTTTAACGCAGACAGTCTTAAGAAATATCTACCCCTCTAAAACTATCTTGGATTAATACCGCATCATGTATTGGAAAAACAACCACTCTCTCTTAGCACATACTGCACGTAATGAATATCAAATACGATGCCCTGCTAGCACAAATCACTCTTGATCAGTTCATAGAAGTCTACATTAAATGGAAATTAAGTCATGCCGGATTTTCTGAGGCCAAAAAACATGCTTTGAATGAATATTAGAAAGGATTGTTTAAATTCAATGCATATATGACTGTAATGTTAAATATGTTTAGAGACTGATTTACAGTAGAGCCTCTTTCAATCAGGCTGTAATAATTAAGCCAGCAACTGGTTATTCCACGTTGAAGTGCTTAGTTAGAGTCCTTGTTGGCGTAGCACTGTAGTCTATCATAACATAGCAATGATCTTTATAGATCACTTTATGATTATCAGGTGGCTTCGCATTAAAGACTTCTTATAGCAATCCACCCGTAATATATTTAATGTATTTTTAGACTAAAGCCACAATCGCACTGGACTTTTTTTGGTAAAACTAACCAACACGTTGGCTAGTTTTACCATAATTAGTCCAGTGCGAACAGCACAGGAAGTTTACCTGACAGGAAACTTACCCAAGCCGCGCGGTTAATTTAACCGAGTCCCTGTCTCTTATACACATCTAGATGTGTATAAGAGACAGATTGGAATGTTACCCACAGTCTCGGTAAAAATTTCCCTATTTTAAATCCAGTGCGATTGCGGCTTAATAATAATTGGATGATATGAATATTGTACCTTGGTCATTAAAAAATGTAGTGAAATCTTTAAAAAATATAATACAAAAGCAATAGCCAAATACTATAATAGGTTTTATATAGCTATACAAAAGCATCTATTAATATAAAGTTTTAATATTTAAATCATTAAAGTGATGTTTAAACTAAAATTCTTATTAAGCAGCAAAGCTTTTATAGAAAATATACATTAATATAGAATATAAGGCTCTGTTGCATGAATTACCCATGGGCATGATTATATCATCATACCCATGTATGGGTATTTGTCACAAATTTATTGTGATAGTGTGGATAAAGGACAGTGTCAATACACTTTTGAATTATCAACCGTAAACCTTCATTGGATGCTTCCCAAGAGTCACTGACGCCAATTTAGAACAATTAATATTCAACGAGAGAGAAAGATTAAAGATAATGACCTATTGATAGCTATTGATTTAAAACCCATTGGGCCATACAAGCTATTGTTATGATAATTGATAATAGTTTGATTTATGTATGTCCACACACGCTGAACGACAATGTATTGTGTCTGCTCATCACATCATCACTTTTGGTGTGGGTGTCTTTGTTGATGTTTCTGTTAAATTTATGCTGTAGTTTTCTGAATACTGCCAGTATCTGAATCAAGCTCTGGAAGCTCAAGATCAAACATTTTATGGTTTTTAAACATCAAATGGTTTGTAATATGCTTCTTGTTCTTGTTGTTTTACTTTATGTAACTGTTTTAAATGACATTGCTTTATTGCTCGCACTATAGGCGAGTCTAAATCTATCCTTCTGTGCCTGGTAAATATTTTGAATTTTCCATCCTGTGATTGGATTGCCTGCGAGGCCAGCCCATATCGTAACACCTCACGTAGAAGCCTGGGCTTCTTTTTTTGCGAACTTAAGGTGCACTTCTATTCGAGATGGCATCAAATTTTGGGCATTACTATAAAACAATAAATATAGGCCACTGTAACATCAGTCTGTATCGTGGAGTGTATTAACCAGCATTACATCACCATTAAATCACCCAAACTACTGTGTAAACCAAGTGTGTTTTTAAAGGCTTTTGTTTCTTTGAAAATTCATGAAATTCATGTACAGTATATTGTATGTACTATCTCGAAAAGCCTGTGCTATCTTGAAAAGAAGCCCAGGAGATGGGCTTCTAATATCGAGGCTACATTACTTTTGCCAACTAAAGAGGGGGCTCAATTCGAGATGGGTTTCTTTTTTTACAGTAGTTTAAATACTGCTTAGGCCGAGCATGCTCAGACTGACTTGCATTCCTTCCATTCCAGTCTATTTGACATCGTTGTCTTAAGTTCATTTAGGGAGCATCCAGTATCATAAATACGATTTTGCCAGTCTTCCTACTGAACTGTATTCATGTGCAGGTTGCCAGAAGTTAATTTGCTACACCAAAAAATTGGACTTAAAATTTTAATCTTTTTGGCGAATGTTTGTAGATGCTATAAACTATGGTGTAAACAGGCAGAATTTCTACTTTGCGCTATTATTTATTCGGTGGAACGAACTCTGTTTTCCCACTGGCAAGATTTTTTGTGACAAATATCTGTAATTATTTGCCTATTATTATGATTCTTTGAGTGTTTCACTTGAAAGGTCTCGAGTTCGTGGCTGGTTAATGCTTTATCTACATTTGTCTCTCTTCACCTATGAATAGAAAGTGGGTGGACGCTTTATAAATAATTAGCATGTACAGGAATACTTACCATGCAGTTGAGCAGAGTTGCAGATTTTTATGATTGACTATGTGTTCCAATTTTTTTTTTTGATTGACTTTTGTACTCCAATTACCAGAAAAATGTTTATAAGATCTATGTAGAATGCTTGTATGTTAGATTATGCAGTAATCAAATTTTTTTTTTTTTTTTCTTGATGTAGGCTCATAGTGGGAATTGCCAGTACGAGCTGGTATTCTGCGAGCACAAATGCGGAGGTGAATTACAGCGCAGGTTCCTCAACAAACACATGTTAAATGAATGTCCGAAGCGCACTGTGCCATGCAAATACTGCCTCAAAGACTTTGTATGCGATACGTTGCAGAACCATCTGCACCAATGTCCCCGTTATTTGATCGCCTGTCCGAACCGATGCGACCAGAAGAAGATTGCACGCGAGGACATGGAGAAGCATGTTAGAGAAACCTGTTCGACTTCCATGGCAGCGACTTGTCCATTTAGAGAGCATGGTTGTAAATTTAGGGTAAGGGAGAAATATTTATTGTGTTTATTAACACATTTTTTAATCTGAAATTGTTGACTCCTCAATACCTTTCAGTGGTGAATCTACAGGAGGGTGTAATGGGTGCTGGAGATTTATTTTGCCAACTAGAGCCTATCACCCTTTTCACCTACCTTTAATTAAAAAAAAAAAATATGGCTTAAATTAAGCTTTCAAGGCTGTAAAAAGTGATATTAGCCACCCTCTATAATGAGTTTCAAAATAAATGAATAAATAAATAATAATGTCTTTGTTTTCAGCATCTAAAAAGTCAAGGCATATATTATCCTTGAGAATTAGTCATCAACTTGAAAATAAAACATGTTTTGTTGAAACTTTTAAAATCTGTAAAATGCAAAAAACCTGTAATTACCGGTTTACTGATTATATTATCGAAAGAGAAAAGAATAACTGTCACATTTCAGACTAATGCAAGTTCTTCCATTATAACTGCTGTTATAATTATTCCCAAGTTGCAAATACTAAAAATCGTTTGCTCATAACCTGAGATTTATGTTTTTTTTTTTCTTGACAGGGATCAAGATATAGTCTTGAGTCACATATCAAAGAAAATACTAGCCAACACTTGGTTCTTGTATGTGAAGTTGTCCGCAGACAGAAACGACAGATTGACTCCCTCACAAATAAATTACACGCCCTTAACACTAGTATGAATGGAACATTGTTGTGGAGGATCACAGACTATGCGTCAAAATTTGCATCTGCTAAAAGTGCACACGGTATTGAGCTGCGAAGTTTACCATTTTATACTAGTCAATATGGATATAAATTACAAGCGACCGTTTTCTTGAATGGGAATGGTTCTGGCGAAGGCAACTCGCTGTCGCTGTATATTAAGGTTTTGTGTAGTGAGTACGATTCGCTGCTACCGTGGCCTTTCACGCTACCTATCACGTTTACCCTCATGGACCAGAGCGACCCACCAAACAAGCGTATGCATATCAAGGAGGCATTCACGCCAGATCCCTCCTGGAAAAACTTTCAGAGACCGAGCAAAGACATCGAGTCTCTTGGTTATGGTTACCCCACCTTTGTCTCGCACAGTTTCCTACAGAGTCGCAAGTACGTGAAAAATGACACGTTATTCATCAAAGTGACGGTGGACAACTCAAGTGTTATGGAGATTTGAATTATTTTAGTCCCATAAATTATATATATGACGACTGTTAGACAATTGATTTAAAACATTATGATTGTTCTCACAGTAAGCGGCCTCCATAGAAACTGAAAAATTGTATATACAGCAAGAAAGTGTACATAAACAACAATGTCCAGTAATTGATATTTGAGAAACATAAAAGTAAAGATATGGTTTATGGTGAAATTATTGGTGCTAGTACAACATAAACCAGAGGAAGAGGCATTTTTCTCAGAACCATTGATAAAGAAGATCAAATTTTTGGAAGTGGAACTGTTTTATAATGGAGATAACAAGTTTTTAAGACTGAACATAACTTTAAATGCGGAAGCTTGAGTAATGCTGATGAATTTCTTGAAGTGTGTATACAAAGCTATGTATATGTGCCTATGGTCATGATGTGATGTAGTCATGACCATATTTAGGCATGTTTTGGACCAGTATACGGAAAGATAAATCCTGATATACGTAACTTTTAAATCAGAACTTTGTCACTGTTATATTAATGTATGTTTTACACTTTCTCGATGCCAGTGTTCATGAAGCAGTAATGTTAATGTATTAGTATGGAGTTCAGCACAATGACAGAAGATGAATATTTTAATGATGTGCAATATTGCTGCTGTCACTACAACTGATAGCCAGCATGCAATTTTCATTCAGGTATAGCACCCGGTAGCTATCGATACAAATACAGGCAGACTTATCCTCTTCAACCTCCTCTTTCTTGTGTTATGTAAAATAATTCTTGCATTTTCACATAAAAAATTATAAAATATAACTAAATGCAGAATAATATCCTGAAACTCAACCTCATTTACACTCGGTGCATCCATTGATATGTTACCCCTGGGCTGGGCCCAGGGTTATGTGGATATTTGTAATTTAGAGTCTCTTTGGCCTGAAATGTAACTTGCCGTTGCCATTAGGTTGTACATAAATCATTGTCTCTTGTGTTTAACATAATGTATCTGTGCCTGTTTGTATTGTATCTTATTTGTAAACAGGGTTGCTGGTAGAAAAAAAGTAATATGTAAAATCACAGGGTAAACAATGATTTTCCCTCAAACCTCCTATCTGGAATCTATAGCAGTGATGGATCTGTGGCTGCTCTTCTTTGTGTGAAGAAATTTTTGTCAATACTAATATCATATTCAATTACAGTATTTGGGGGATTTTTGTATACAGAAGTGTTGATTTTCACAAAATATAATATTTAAGTGTTAAGCATTGTTAGAGCATTTTAAAGAATTTTATTTCAAAATAGGTAGCAACACTGATGCAACTGTGGGTCGCAACCCACCAAGGGGTCACCACAATATTTTGGTGGGTCTTGAAGCCTTGACAGAAATCATCAAATTCGCTAGCTCTAGTCTTCTATTAATATATACTGGAAATATACATAGAAAGATGTGTTATTTTGTAATAATGTTAAACTTGACTCTAATACATGGAAATGAAACATGTTGTAAAATGTAAGAATGATATACTGTAGACCTAGCACTCTAGGGGGTCGGTGGGTTGCAACTTGAAGTTTGAATTTCCTAATTGGGTCTTCAATCAATAGTTTGTGGAATTCTGATTCAACTTTTACTCTCTGTTCAATTTTTAGCTTACTGTTATACTGAATGTGGAACTGATGTGACTGCAGGGATGGATTTAGGGGGGGGCGGCCCGGCCCCCCCACTTTTGGGAGGTAAAAAAAGAAAAAAAAAAGAAAAAAAGAAAGAAAAAAATGATAGCCCACAACGCCTCAAATGTTATTTTCGGGCGTCTAGAACACAAAAATTTCACGGGGGCATGCCCCCAAAACCCCCTGGGACATTGTTGTCTCGATCGGCCCAAATTTCCCCCCTTTTGGACATCTCTGGATCCGCCCCTGGACTGTATAATTTTAGATTAAAAAGGGATGTCATGGGACTCCCAATGACCAACTAATTAATATTCCAAGTATCAACTTAATTACAAACATCATTTCCAATTTACTAACAAGGCCTTATGTGGCATATTACATATGTTATAAACAGATTGCTGCAGTTCTGTCTTTGTCATAACAAGACCTCAGTAAAGTTTTGTATATTTGGGTCTTTCATTCTGTTGGTTAATATTGTTACAAATTATGTTAAAATATTGTTTGAATTTAAAAAAATTATCTTCATTGACAAATTTCAGCTGTGAAATACCAAGTAGATATATAGTTTATTATAAAATTCAAGTAAGGAAATATTTATTTAAAGATAAGACTAGAAATGAGGATTGAATGTGATTATGTGATAAGAATTGCTTGTGAATGAAATGAAAATCAAAATGAGATTGAAATATGAGATTAAAATTTGACAGTGCCATTTTTGGCCATCTAGATGTACCAGACATATAATTTTTTGTACCTCAGCCATGAATGATCAGGATTGCATGAGATGTGGATTGTGTTTGATTCGGAGCTGAAACTTAAATTTAATCCAGAGATGAGGATTGTATGTGATCTTGAATTTAAGATTGTGGTCATAAGATTGGGATTGGTGTGCGATCTTGAAATTAGGGTTGTGATCATAAGATGAAGATTGTGTGCAGTGGTGGCACCAGCCATTTGCCTATCAAAATAATGTTCTTTTAATTGCCAATCCCTCATATTAAAATAAAAAAATAAATAAATTTGGACCAAGCTCTCCTCTGAACCCTACCAAGCATTTTTTATTCCAGGCCGTTGACCGAGGCTATAGTTGGCAAATTTCTGGCGCCACTGCTGATTGTGTGCTATCCTCAGATGAAGATTGTGTACAAGATAAGAATTGTATGTACGAAGGACTGTGTATGATCCAGAGATGAGAATTGTATAGTTGTTCTTTTTAGATTGTAATTATGAGATGGGGATTGTATGTGATCCTGATATAATGATTGCATGCGATTTTGAAATAAAGATAAAAATGCGATTCCGAAATGAGAACATATATAATCTTAAGTCTTAGATTCTAAAAATAAACTGTTCAACACTCCTATTGCAGATGGAGTTTAAAGCTGAACAGTAAAATTGAATGCTTGTGCAATGTCGGAAGTGATTGTGAAATTAGTTCTTTTTTGTATTATGTTATAATAATTGGGGTGCAATCATATATCTATGAATGGGGATATTTCAATCATATTTGATGATCATTCCATACATTCATGGTTTTAAAATTAACTATATTTCTTCTCTTGAATTGCACTATTCAAACCACCTAACTTCATAATGATTTATATTGCATAGAAAATTCTGGAAAAAAGTACTTAGATATGAATTTATTAATTTTGTAGACCAAAAAATCATGTAGTAAAAATAATTTTTTTTGTATGAAATATTTTGGTCTGTCAGTTTTTCATAGCATCAGGTGAAATCTTCATGTAATTGTGTTTTTCCATGTAAATCAATTTATGCTGAAAATATAGGTTGTTGTGAAGCAGGCTTTGTCTATTTATGCAGATTATGCATATATCCTACACTTGTGTTCAACAATAAACATTAGAAAATGAAAAAATACTATGTACTTGTTTTATAAATTTTATTTTGATTGTTGTACAGTACCTCATTTTGTGTTTCTTTGCATTACACAGAAAGGGGTGGGGGGAGGGGAGGAAGATGCTGGAGTGAAAGTTTCCTTTGTGTCATTTATTCCTCACACCTTTAGTGAAATGGATCTTTCCACAGTGTCAATCAAACTTAACAAATGACCAATCAGAACAGAGCCTGGAATATGCGCGTGTCCTACAAATACACGTTTTCCCACAAACGCACATGTTTACATACATTTTACGCTATTGATTTGTGGGAATGTGGCAACACTATCCAAAGAATGGTGCTTATCGGAAAGGTCCATTATTTGAAAAAGTCACAAATACAGTATATAGCATAAGAGAATCTCCGAAATAAAATAGTATGTGAAATTATGTTCTTCAGGTAATCATTGTTTTACTTAGTTGATAGTCAGTTTCAAAGAACTCATTAATATTCATAAGTTCAATGCCTTTCCAGGAGCATGTAAATAAAATGCAAATTAACAATACTATGGTAAAAATGAAAAGTGGGTTCAATTCAAATTTCATGGATAAGGCAGCAAATTTTAGTGAAATAAAAACCTTACAGATGTAAGAATACATAAATATTATATTTTCTACTAAACAGTGAGCCTAAATAATAATATGCTGCAGCATTGTCTAATTTGAGTAATACAGGTATCAACATTTATGATTGTGGAGCTACTTTACAATGCTTGTTTATCACAACCAAGCTGAGGAAAATTCTATCAGAAAGGGAGTGATCATGTTTTTAAATTTAAATTTTAATGTAGAATCCCCTTTAATACAAAGGCATGTGAAGTATACTGCTATGGTGTTAATACTGTTTGTTGTTTTAGTGGTTTATGTCACCTGCTTCAACTGTTAGTTCATCAATATCTTCTCCCTGATTCGTTCCAGCCATTCATGTGTTAAACCTCAGGATGGTGCAGTCTCCTGATTGGGCCGTTCTGTTTCAGATCTATCATGTACCTATATTAGTAGAAAAAGAATAGTTGACAACCTGCTAAAAAGTGTGTGCAATTAAAAAATGTTACCATGGGCAAAATAATGAACTGATACTTTACTTTGGTAGACATAACTTTCATAGAGATTTTCAGAAATTAATGTTGGGGCTTGCCATGCAAAAACCACCATCAATGATGGAATTATCATTTTTTCCCATTTTGTTTTACACTCATACTTTTAATATATCATAACTTTGGTGGGATTTTTTTTACGCCCTGTTTAGCGAATCCGCAGCCTGCCAATAATAATGATTTTGACTAAACCTGCCAGCAAGAAATAAAGAATATTTTAGAAAAAAAAAAATTTTTCTATATTTTTATAATGCTCACTACTGCCTTGAAATTCCGAAAAAATAAGATATGAATATTTCTCCTTAATTATATAAACTTATAGTATTTAACCATCCCATTAATATCCTGTTTACGTTCACTAATATAATTTTATTTTTATTTTCTCCTTTGGATGTTTTTGGCCAAACTATTTGATAAATAAGAAAACAAAATTTTCTTAGTATTATTTTTTTCTGCCCTCCTATACATCAATATATACACATGCATACACATGAAAATGGTGCAGATCCACATCATTTGCTAAGCTTACCTGTGACTGAGAATTCTTTTGTAAAAACCGTTGTAAAATGACACCTTCACTGGTAAGTGCTTCTTCCACTTCCTTAAGTAGGTCCTCATCGGATTTTCCGTCTCTTGATTTATCAAGTTCTTGGTACTTAGTAATAAATCTGAGATATTTAAATAAATAACTTATAATTTTCTTTTTCAAATTCCTTTCACATTCCTTTCCAACAGCAAATACATTTTTTTTTGCAATTTTTCTTCAACACTATGTACTTATTTATTTAGATATATAGTCAATTATGAGGTATTTTATTACATATTATTTATATTATCAAATGAGTTCTCTTTATTCATTTATTCAATTTTTTTTATAGCTTCTGTAAAGGTTTATTGTCCCCTGAAAATGACCCAAAAAAAATTATAAAAATAATTTGGAAATTAACTTGCTCATTTTGCAGTAACATACAAAGTATTAACTTAAGCATAAAAAATAATTAAATTTTAAAAATTAGTACTCTGATTTTTATACAGGATAATGACAACAATTTTGCTGTAAAATTATGGGTAAACATGTTTTTAATTCACTAATTTTTATGTTCAAATTGATAATTTTTATGTTACTTGGGAATGAGCAAATTAATTAAAAAAAATATTGTAATTATTTTTTTGGTATTTTTGATGGAACAAATACATATTTAAAATAATATACAGTAACTTACTTGTAACATGTTGTGTGCTTAAAAGCATCAGGCTTACTTAGATCAATTGTCTGTCTGTTTCGAAAGGTTTTGTAGAAGTAACTAGAAAGGGATTAAAAACAACAATAATTGCTATGGAAAAATAGTTATGAAGCCATGATACTCCAAACAATAATGAATAGTAGTAGCAGGCCTGGAAAAAAAAATATTTTGTGCCTCCGACCATAAAAATTATCTTCATCAAATGCTTACAGGACCAAATGTTATATTATATTAATATATTATATTATATTTATATTATAGCGAAACAGTAGCACATTTAGAGGTTTTGAGCAAGCAAAAATATTATATTTATGCATTAAATAGTGGTGTGCAAAAAAAACCACATTTTTTTCTAAAATGCTTCCGGGTTAAAGGTCAATGCCTCCGACCCCCGGTCGCACACTTTTTCCAGCCCTGAGTAGTAGTAAAGAAATTTCAATCAAACTAACAACTGACTAATCAGATCAAAGCCAGGAATTTGCCGTCCCACACAAGCTCATTGTTTTTTTAATTGAATCTTTCTACAATAACTTTGTTCCTGTAAATGCTGAAATAGACTTCACCATGTAGTTATTCTCTACTCTTTATACTGTAATCTATATTCTTTCAAAACTTACAAATCGTGGCAAGGCGCCAAATTGTATGTAAAATAACAAATGAAGGACGTTAAAAAACGGAAAATACTTACGCTCTAACCTTATCTTCTTTGTATAGAATCTCCCTTGGCCAATCATCAGAGATTTTTCTTTCATATTTGGGTTCCTCCATTGGTGGAAATGCTGCCATCACTTCATACCATAGTGGTTTATCTGCATCTTTAATAACTCCTGAACGAATCAGATTTTGTGTTCTATAAAATAAATACTGTCAATATCAATCCTTTGACATATAATTAAAATCTGTTGCATTTAACAGCAAGCCACCTAATTTTTTCCTCTCAAAATAAATAAACAAACATTACTTTTGTTTTCATTGCCTTTATGGACTATAAAATAATTATGTTGTTATATATTTCCATAAATGTTCACGCAAAATTAGGCCTTGGCCTAGCTCTCAATAAATAAACCAATGTATATAACTGTACGCTCAGTCTAGTCTAGCGAGTAGTATTAATTTTCGATGTGTCTAGAGGTAGGTATTGTAATTAAATTTGATTGACATAAAGAAATTAAGAGCACCGATACTGTATTGAAAGCCCCATTCCTGACAGGAATTTCATTAAAAATCTATTTTGATGTAAATATTAGAGTACAGTAATATGCATTACTCAAATTATTAATAATATAAACCATGAAAAAATATTGGCATAAATTTTAGTTTTACGCTAAAGAAGAAAAAAAAATGACAAGTATTTCTCAAAGATAGGAGATAATCATTTTTCTTGACAACTTCGTTACTAGACAAATTCAGAGGTTGTAGATCGCATCCACTGGAATGGTCTCGCCATCTGCTTTTTGTGTATACTTTATACAGTCGAGCATCGGAGGTAGTCAGGGTAATTGTTTCACGAACCTGCCACATTTTTATTTTTTATCTTGCTCACCAATGCCATGAACTCTAATGACAGGATATTTTAATGCATCCCACAATTAAATTATGAAGGAAGTGGATATATTTACGTCACCGTAAACAAATCAGGAAACAATATATGGTATTCATGTAAAATAAAGAGCACATGCGCAGTCACACTTCAATAAACTTGCATTATCGGTCAGGACTTGAAATTAGCGTCGGCCCAAGCCGCGGTGCCCAAGCTCACCACGGCACTGATTTGCTGAGGCCCTTTTCCATGAATCCATGGTAGCCATACATAAATCAAATCCCCCAAACGTGTGTTTATAGTCATGTTAAATTACATTAACTTGACCAAACATTTTTTTGTACAAACAAAGAAGTTTCTGCTCTTTACAAAAACCATTATTCAACAACACACAATTGAGTCGACAGCAAAGCACATGGGGAATTCCTGAATTGGTTGAATGAATTTTTGTAAACAGTTTATGACAGGGTTTGACGTTCGATAATTATAATTTTTCCATTCCTATTAAACATATTGAATTTGCTATAGTTGTATGCAATTAAATCATTAAATAAATCATTGAATCATTTTGATAATGAGCTAGAAATAAGCCTATTTGTATTCTTTTCACTCTACTCATGTCATGACCACAACGTACCGGCTATCTATTCCACACACTCTTTGCATCCATACTTTGTAGACACATGCACAGCGTGGTATTTAATTGAAATTAACTGCCAATGTTGTTTTTGTTAGTGTTTGAATAAAACATTAAGGCTATGTTCTCACACGGCAACTAACGGTTAGCAGCATCCGGATCCTGCTAACCATTAGCTGCCGTGCGTTCATACAAGAAAATCCTGATCCAGATACCAAGAATATGATGACCGAATCACTGGCCAATAAGAAACTGGCAATTGTAAACGCGTATGTGCGATTGGTTGATGATAGAAACGCACTCACTTGCGTTTCTCATGATCGCGACGTCGACTTTGCAAAAAAGCCAAAATCGAGTCGGTCATTTCTATTGGCTAATCATGACGTAATATCATTCACCGTACCTTTAACAATTCCAATACGGTACCGTATCTCTAGCCACGGCGTTAATAAAAACAAATTAGGCTTTTAATGAAATCTGTGCCGTTGTTTGTAAGCTTGCGCACCACGGCTAGGGGCGACGCTAATTTCGATCGAGTGAACGATGTAAGTTTATTAAAGTATGACTGCGCATGCATTATTTATTTCAAGTAGATCCTGTATATCGTTTACTGATTGTTTACTACGGTCACGTAAATATATCCACTTCCACTAGCCTAGGCACCTCTAGGCCTAGCTAGGCCTCTATAGGTCTAGCCTGGGCAAGGCACCTCTACTAGGCCTAGCCTAAGCCTCTACTCTAGCTAGGCCCCAGGTAGGCCTAGCTCACTAGGGGCCTATGCTAGGTAGGCCTAGGCCTACTAAACTAGAGATAGGCCTAGAGGGTACTATCGAATGATGCCTGACGGTCTCTCACTAGCGTTTTCTCCCTAAAGGCTCACCTAGTAAATATTGTGCCTACTCTTTCTAAACGACTTAAACTCGTCATTTTTTATTTGTTTCTCAAATTAAACGTAAAACAAGGCTCGAGTGCTACAGAACAGCAGCCGTACAATACACTTCTCTGCTGCCAGCAGCGTCGGTCTCTAGAGAAATCATGACGTTGAGGGCAGCAAGCAACTAAACAAAGTAAATTCTTTCGTATTTTTTTATTTATATCATCCCCAAATAGTCCTAAATGAATGAAAATGATATCAGTGCAAGCCTACACAAAAGTTAATGTAATGTACACATAATACATTCCATTCCAATAAATCAGAATTTAATTAATTTGCTGTTTGTATCATGAGTTTTATGTTATCACGACAAACTGAAGGAGGTGGACATTTTGTTTGTAAACAAACAAACTTCCTGTTGAACAGTAGACAGTTTGCATGCTGAGCGAGTGTTGGTCGTGTTGTTTTTTCAGGAATTTTTCCCAAGGTCGCGAAAATTTACTGAGAAGCGCAGTCTACAAAAGGTATATTTACAATATTTTTGATTATATGATAACATACGTATGTCTTCTTTCAACATCTTGGTGTAGATACTCTTAAAGACTGTCAATATTTAGGAGGTTTGTGTTGGCACGCGTATGCTAGCAGGCCTGGGTATGGAATGCTAGGCCTTGGTTTTTCTTAATGTTCTTGGGCTGGGAATAACAGCAGTTGTCCCTACATGAGCTGTCAGTTAAATTTGACACTGACAGCCTAAAATTGTGAAGGCATGTCATTGGACTTTGATCTAAATGATTATTAGCGAGTAGTATTAAGATGCAAAAAAGGGGTGTGTTAATTTGATATTGACTAAATAAATAGTAATTATTATTTATTTTATTATGCGACAACTTAACCTTTTCGTCACAACATGCCTCATTTTTCTTTAAAATGAAGAGGATAGGCCTAGGCTAGGTCTGTATAAATTTCTATTTATCCATAGTTGCCAACTTTTCCCAAAAGAAATCTGTGAGAACTTGCATTGCATAGCAACGTGCCACTGACTGGGGGGCCATGGGGAGGGGCCCCCAGTAACAATACTATTTTTGGGAAGATTTGATTTTCGTACACCGCAGATTCATGGGTACATTCAATCATAGCTATGATAACTATGATTTTTTCAGCCTAAATTTTCGGTGTGGTCGCCGACACACCTCCGGGTTCGGGGCGGTTACCGACCACCATTCCTAACATGCCGGTGAGAACCCTGAATTTTGTTGTGAGTTTGATATTATAATATCATGATATGTAGAATAATTTGTTCAAACACAAAGTACAGTAGTACCGATGTACAAATGCTTAATACAATTTTCAATGAATTCAAATTCAAAAATTTTCAACATTCATTTTTTCATTCATTTATCAGCCATTGTCAATCCACTGCTGGATGAAGGCCTCAGTATGACTTTTCCAAAGTTTCCGGTCTTGTGCAATGATTGACCTATTACAGGTTTTCCAATATTGGTCTATCTCGTCTCTCCACCTTTTCCCTGGTCTTCCCCTTTTTCTTTTTCCCCTTTTTCTTTTTCCCAGGTAAGGTGTCCATTCGGTGATTAAAGCACTCCATCTGTTATCATTACGTCGTGAAATGTGTCCTGCCCAGTTCCATTTCCTTTTCTTAATCGTTGTGACCAAATCATTGACCCTTGTCTGTTCTCTAATCCAGTTGAGTGTTTTTCTGTCTCTAAGCATGATGTTCAACATACTTCTTTCCATCTTGTGTTGTGTCACTACGAGTTTGAGTTGAAGGTTCTTTGTGATGGCCCAAGTTTCACTGCCATTAATGATGGCTGGGATAATGCATTGGTTGAATACATTTTTTTTAGACATAATGGTAGTTTGCCTTTCATTATATTCTTATGTCTGGCAAAGGCTTCCCATCCTGCTCTTATTCTTCTTTTTGATTTTTTTTTTTCTTGGTCTTTCTCTCAGGGAGAACCTTTGTCCCAGGTAGATGTATTCGTCTTCCTTTTGAACTTCAGAATCATTTATTTTTAGGACTTGCTGTATCTGCATTTGACATAAATTTTGTTTTACTCATGTTACACTTAATTACAAAATGTTACACTTAATTACTGTGCTAAAGGTATTTTGTGCAGTATCCTGACACATAGACACTGTGAACCCATACAATACCATACCCAAGGGTACCTATTAGTCTTTTTGTGTCTGCTGTCCCTTTGGGGGTCAGTAGACACTTAGTTTTCTTCTGGCAGTTGACCTTGTAAGGGTAAATCAGGTCGAGGAATGATGGGATAGTTTATAAGCTAAAGATCAAAATTAAATTATGTTTACGAAATATGATGCTACTGTATGGTGTGGATAGGAACTGTCCTACAGTTACTGTACAGTAGAAAGGGTTAAAAAGTCAACAATCTGTTACTTGTAAAGTTATTCAATTGAATTGCCAACCCAGAAAGCTGCTAATAGTGGGCCTGTCACGCCAAAATTGGTCCGGGCCAAAAAATTGTGTAAACACCAAGGATAGCCCACGGAAGAAGAAGACTTATTTCTAGTGGGGTCCTTCTGGTGGTGATTGGGTAGTACACCGGGAGACAATCCCTACTCCTGTCTCTTATACACATCTAGATGTGTATAAGAGACAGCAACTAAACAAAGTAAATTCTTTCGTATTTTTTTATTTATATCATCCCCAAATAGTCCTAAATGAATGAAAATGATATCAGTGCAAGCCTACACAAAAGTTAATGTAATGTACACATAATACATTCCATTCCAATAAATCAGAATTTAATTAATTTGCTGTTTGTATCATGAGTTTTATGTTATCACGACAAACTGAAGGAGGTGGACATTTTGTTTGTAAACAAACAAACTTCCTGTTGAACAGTAGACAGTTTGCATGCTGAGCGAGTGTTGGTCGTGTTGTTTTTTCAGGAATTTTTCCCAAGGTCGCGAAAATTTACTGAGAAGCGCAGTCTACAAAAGGTATATTTACAATATTTTTGATTATATGATAACATACGTATGTCTTCTTTCAACATCTTGGTGTAGATACTCTTAAAGACTGTCAATATTTAGGAGGTTTGTGTTGGCACGCGTATGCTAGCAGGCCTGGGTATGGAATGCTAGGCCTTGGTTTTTCTTAATGTTCTTGGGCTGGGATTAACAGCAGTTGTCCCTACA